TAGCCATGATCGGACCATGATAAGAGAGGTACTTCCATCTCTCTTGACAAAGTTTCAAATGTCACCTGCCCTACATCATGCAGATTAGTTGTATCATTTGTTGCTTGATTGAATGAGTATGCTTCAGAGAACTAAATCCATCCTAATTCCAGGAGTCCTTGGCTGACAAATATATACCAAAGAGAAGCAGGGAAGCTTAGATAGTGACCCTACCTGTGAGCTTGGTCTTTCTCCCCTAGGTGTGACGCTCCCCATGGTGGTGGACCTGTCTTGGTCTTCCCCTCCCTGGCTTATCTCGGCGGCTTCCTTGGCAAAGCGCCGGACGGCGGAAGCCAGCAAGCCATCGGTCCACTCCAGGGTGTTTGGGTTGGTCTGGCCGTACAGCTCGCCCATCTTGACACACTTGGGGTTGATGGCAAACGTCTCCACCCGGCCCTTCTTGCCGTAGGTTTTCTAAGATGTGGGAAGTTGGAAGGGAAGAAAATGTCAGAGAGGAGTCAGACAGACAAATCTGGTGAATATGACAGTTTGATGATTACTGTTCACATTTTGGGCACACTTAAGTTTGCAGGTGAGTTAGTTAAAAATTAGGCAAAAACAGAAGTGAAGCTTTTAGCATGACACAGATTTAACAAGTTTTGTAGTGACACTCACTGTAACCCCAACAATATTCTGAAATTGTGCAAAGCATGACCTGGACTTAAGACATCTTATGGAAGGTCTGATCCAAACAACCTTTTTCTATAGAGAGTCTGAACTTTGGGGTTACTTCACCAAATATGAAGCAATCCTCAGTACCTCTCCTTACTGATGTAATGAACTGCACATTCTTCTTGTGAATATATTCCATTCTATTAAAACCAAATCTTGGTTAATCCTAACTGTCCTCAATTTTATCCTCCAATTTCAAGGTGAGGTTTCCTACACCCCAGGAGGTTAGGGTTAATGTAAGAAAAAAAAGTGTTCTCCACTACGTGATCTGATGCCACAAAATGAGTCTTAGATTATTCTGTTTTTGTTGGTTTAAGAAAGCTGTATCCGTTTTGATATCACACCCAATTTGGCATCCTTATAAAAATGGACATTACATGGCTGAAAAATACTGAACGCTTCTACGGATTTACGTTGTGCAAAATTCAATTAACGACGTTCAGCTCAGAAGTAATTTAAAGTGACAAGCAGCTGATTTTAATAGGTTGGGTCATTCACAAAATAAAGGAGTTTGTGAGAAATTGCTCAAGTTCTCTCCTTACTATAATCTGCAGCCCAGACTGGTCTGCCTCTCCTATGTGTATGGTAGGTAGCAGCACTAAGGCCCTCTGTAAGATGGTACGGACAGCTGACTTCCCTCCTCCTGTTGGACCGACCAACATGACGCCATGCCTCACCAGGATCTGGCTGTGAAGCTGCTTGACCTTGTCAATCTGGCCGGGCCAGTGTTGGAGCCCTAAGTCGCGGATCGCCATGGAAATCGCTTTCTGAAAATTGAATAGACAAATGCTTGTGTCACTGTGACCAACAGTCCCATTCAATGCAGTCAGTCATCCAGTCTAATGCTGTCTATCTCCCCTGAGCTGAAGTGCGCCCTCACCGGCGAAAGAAAGACAGATGGTACTAAGTTTTCCAACCAGGTTCTTGCACTCATTCAGCGAGCATACAAAGACCACACATTCTAGACTAAAATCGCTGCGTGTACTCAGCGTGCTCTGCACCCATGGGGTGCGTGAGTACCAAAGGACTGTCAATTTCCTTTCAAAACACTCCCTCTTTTGTGTCTGCTCCGAACGGATAGAATGAACGTCTCACTCAGCAACTGCCAAGAAAGTGTTTTTTTCCAACTCTGGACTTCATCTCTCTCATGGTTTATAGTTCTCAGCTGTAGCTGGACTACAGTGGAATCAATTACAAGACCTTGTAAGTTCATCCAGCACCCATCACAAGCCATCCAGTCTTGAGCCAACTCACAAGCTAGAGAGTTGTCAAAGGACTTGCAAAGGGCTCAACTACAACACTCACTTGTATGAATTCAGCCCCCTGAGTTGAGAAATTTATTTTGGTTCTCAAAGGAAACATCTGCAGCTTATTACGGAGTTCAAGATGACTGTTATTTACAGAAACGATGCCAACATTTAGGGGAAAAAATGACAAACTGGGGTTGTGTTAAAGAACAAGTTAAGGTTGACAAAAAACTGCATTAGCTATGGCAGGGAACTGCACAGAAGTGTATTTCACAGCCTGAAGCATGCTAATCCTTGTATACATGTATACGCATTGAAATTCATGTAGTTGCATCAATGTTTTAAGCTGAATTCTACCTCTGCAGTTAGCATTTTTCTTCTAGGTGATTGCTAATACGGTTTCTGTGGTGGACAGGGGCTGCGTATTAGGAAAAAGGTTCCATATGGGCCAGGACCAATCAGATTTGTTTCAGTTTTTTTCCCTGAAACTTGAGCTGTCAGACAAGCTCAGGCTGATCATTTCTTTTCATTCAATCTACAGGTGTTAGAAATGATTACCTCCAGGGCTCCCGAGTCAGGAGCTGGTGGACTGATACCAGGGAAGAGGTCTGCCAGGATACTCTCAAACAGCGGCACGTCCTCCGCCAGGAACTTGGGTAGGTTAGCATCCCGCAGGGAATGGATGAGAATAAAGGCCTCCTGCTCCTCAGACAGGGCAACGTGCTGTTGTCTGCAAAGAGACGGGAATGTCAGGGTATATGGGGAGACATCCAGATCGAGGTTTGGTAGTTGATAACGTAGGCTTCTGCAGCTCCAACTGTTAACACCATGGCCAGCATATTGGCCTAGATAGAGCTCATGAACCCTGATTACCAATAGACTTTTTTCACAAGTCAGACATACTGAATTGAAGGCAAGGTTATCTTTCATTTTGAAAACATGCGAGTAAAAAGGAAAGCAAGGAAATTAAAGTTCATTACAAATTCATGCTAGTTTATACTGATGAACACTTCAAATTCTATGATCATTTATATCCAATATATTCAAGAATGGATCTATGTACCATCCTTGATGTAGTGTGCTGTGTACATTACCAAGACTGACTTCTCTAATATGAAATATTTGATAAGATTTGATAAGAAATTTGGTCAATGAAAACACGGTTCTAAAAACTAGCAGTAGATACTAACTCTGACTGCATCTGTCGCTTCTTCTGTCCGGCCATGACCAAGACTGACTTGATGGCACGCATGCCAAAGTCATAATGGTCCTATGGGAGTAAAGAAAAAAATTGACAAGATTCATAAGAGTCACATTTCATGTTAATGTAACTGCTACATGTACATTGCCTAAGAAGGTTCATGGGGGTTTCAAGGTGGGTTGAGAGATGTAGGATCCAATTTCATGGAAGGGATGATGGTGAGATACGGTTGCTAAGCACAATCATATGCTGAGCAAAAGGGTCGTACTAGAAATCTGGGGTCCAATTATTCATGTTCCCTGTCAGCCCTGAAATGTGATTTTGTACAAAGTTTAGAGCACACTCTTTTCCAAGAGGAATTAAATAATGCAAATTACCTGCCAAACAAATAAAAATGGTTCGAAATCAACTTTAATGATATTTCCATGTGTAATTTCACAGTCAAGTTGTGACTTTATAGAAAAACTCACAATTTAGTCGACTCGAGCACAAAAGGTGGCCACAACAGAGAAAAAACCTGTTTTTCCATCAATAAATTGACGTATCTTTGAGTCTTTGAGTATTACATGCTGTAACTTCATATATTGCCTCAAACCCAAGTATCATGTATACACCTCACAGCTTAAACCCTGGGGGTAAGATAAACCCTTCCTGACCTGCTGTGACAGCTGCTTGCTGGCCAGTTGGTACAGATTCACAATCTTATTGGACAGGGACTTGGCCGAGGTGAAACCCTCCGAGAACAGCATGATCTCGGCGATCAAGGCGTAGTCTGGCACCATCATGGACACAGGACGGAACAGAGACTTCAGATTGTCAGGCAATTCAACACGCCCGGCATAGCTGAGATACAAGATATAATTGGGTACAACTCTGTTAGATGAAACATATCCTTTATCTTCTGGTGGGTACATTTTCAAGCAAATAACTAAATAGCAGGAAAAAAATGGCATCAGCTAAATCATAAAGCCGTTGAAATTTTCCTTTTAATACTAAGAAATATTCTCTTGGTTAAATACTGATGTTTCATCAGATATGGATCAACTCTAACAGCAAAATTTCATCAACATTTGCAACTTACCCAGGATTCATTGTGATGAAAACACCACATGTGCTGTTGAGCCGAATGTCTCGACCCTCAAAGACAAACCTGAAAAAATGTGACAAAAACCTTCTCTTCAATTTCCCTAACCCAAACGCTTTTGAATAAAATTTAGAAATAAAACTCGTACACTTGCTCTAATCAAATAAGTTAAGAGTGGGGTATATCCCAGCATAAGTTTTAAAAGGGGAGGTATTAAGCGGCACATACTAGCAAATTACAACTCAGCCAAAACTTTTTTAAGAAGATGAAAAGACATGTGATAAGTGACAATTTTTTGAAAGAGGGAGGTAGTGAGTGGCACCTAAATAGTAATGCTTTTTAAAAGATGAAATGGTGGATTGTAGCTCAAACCATCCACCCTTATACCTGAGAGCATTCTGATCCTTGGCAGTCTTGATGCTATGCAGCTGTTGGGCAATCACAGAGAGCACCTCCAGGTCTATACGATTGAACTCATCAAAGCAACACCAGCTGCCAGACTGTGCCTGACCCGAGAAGAACTTGCCCATCATCTACAAACAAGACGATGAAAACTTTGGCTAGCGTTCGTTTTTTATCTTGGCAATAACTTTCCTAACTTCACTGGCTGGGGGGTAGCAAAACTCTTTGAGGTAAAGGCATTTCATAAATTCGTAATTTAGAGTAGGAAGCAGAACTGAACAATTGGAATTTGAACAAAATTAACATGGAAAACTGCAGGATCAGAGACTTCAGATTGTCAGGCAATTCAACACGCCCGGCATAGCTGAGATGCAAGATATAATTGGGTACAACTCTGTTAGATGAAACATATCCTTTATCTTCTGGTGGGTACATTTTCAAGCAAATAACTAAATAGCAGGAAAAAAATGGCATCAGCTAAATCATAAAGCCGTTACAATTTTCCTCTTAATGCTAAGAAATATTCTG